CCCCAAAACCCCAAAACCCCAAAACCCCATTAATATCATTTACGTACTCATTTAAAGAAATGCGTAATCATATTTAATAATACTTATATGACCTCAATTTTAAATCTTTAAAATCTTATTAATGTAAAATATCTTACCTAAAACTGGCAGCATCAAGGACAAAGTAGTTGCTGAGGACTTGTTGGCTGAGAGGAAAAATTTAAATTTCGATTAGCTTGAGCTAACTAACTTTGTATTTGGAGGCGAAGAGAATTATAAAAACTATCAAGAGTGGACTAAAATTCTCGAGTCTGATCCTATTCTACACAATCATCACGAATTTTATGAGTTTACAAGAGAGGAGCAAATCGAACACAATTTGCAAAAAGTCAAAAGAATGTATGAAATCGATAAAAAAAAGTACTTCCAAGATTATTCAGAAGGATATTTCCAATGGTACTACTATATTTTTAAGGGAATTGTAAGGGGACTATTAAATATTAACATATTTTAAGAACAAATAGATAACATTAGCATTAAATAACATATTCTTATAGTCTCCATATGGTCTTCATTCAACAATGTTTGTCTCTTGCATTGATTGTCTGTCTGATGATGAGCAAAGAGCGAAATGGTTACACATGGCTAAGGATTTCAAAATGCTTGGATGCTACGCCTAAACAGAATTAGGTCATGGATCAAATGTGACTGTAAAATCATGTTATAAATTAATTCAATCTAAAGGGAGTTGAGACTACTGCAACTTTTGATAAGTAAACAGATGAAATTATAATTAACACTCCAACCATCACAGCAACTAAATTTTGGCCAGGTGAATTAGGCAAACTTACAAACTTTGCAATGGTCTACGCTAACCTTATATCAAATGGAAAGAATTATGGAGTGCAGCCATTCTTAGTTTAGATAAGAGATTTTGAAAATCACCAGCCTGTATAAGGAGTAGAAATTGGGGATATTGGCTCCAAGTTTGGATTTAATGGTAAAGATAATGGCTTTATCATCTTTAATAATCTAAGAATTCCAAGAGGAAACATGCTTCAAAGATTTTCCGAATTGGATAGAGAAGGCAACTTCAAGGTTAAAGGAAATTAAAAGGCACTTTTCTCTGTCATGCTTATGGGCAGAGTTCAACTGATAAATTTCTCATCTTTTGGACTTCACTGGGCTCTCTTAGTTGGAACAAGATATGCTGCTGTCAGAAGGCAATTTGCAAATTAAGAAGGGTATATAGCATATTTTATTTATTTAAAATTTTTAGAGACAAACTTGAGAGAAAACTACTAGATTATCAAACACACATGATGAAATATGGACCTTTTTTAGCATACTCAATTGCTTTTAGATTCGCAGTGACCGATCTAATTAAAATGCACAAGAAATTACTTGCTGGCTTAGTCAATAATGATTTTGGCAACTTAGAACTTTTGCATCATATAACCTCTGGATACAAATCGGTCTTTACAACACTTTCATATGATGCTATAGATGAAATAAGGCAGTCGTGTGGTGGTGCAGGATTCCTATCATGGTCTTCTCTGCCTTCCCTTCAATAAGATTTCGCTCCGAATACAACTTTCGAAGGTGACAATACAGTGATGCTCCAACAAGCAGCTAGACTCATAATGAAGAATGTCACTTTAGTAATGAAAGGGAAAAAGCCTCATGAATTTTTCGCTCACCTAGAATTAATCAAGGATCTACCAGTAGCAAATAAGACTCTTTCATCTGTTTCTGAGGTTCTAGAATTAGAATATCTTGATTTAGCTTTGGCTACGAGAGCAGCTTTTAAGATAAGGTTCTTTATGGAGAAGTATATGACAACTGAAGCGACCGAAAATGAAAAGTTAAACTCCCTATTAGCTATAGATATCCTCCCAATGGTCAAGGCTCATGTTATGTATACTACATTTAGACATTTTAGACAAGGAATAGAGAGCAATGGCTTTAAATGTGAAAACCTCAAGAAGCACTTTAGAAACTTGTGCAGACTCTATGCATTAAATGAATTGACCTAAGACAACCAATCATTGTACGAATGTGGGTTCTTTACTCAGGGAACCATGAAAATAATCAGCTAAGGATTAAAGCAGCTTCTTTAAGAAATTAGACCTCACATGATTCCACTGGTAGAATCTTTAAGAATCCCAGATAGCATTCTTGTATCATCAATCGGTAACTCTTACGGAGACATCTATGAGTAAGTAATTTATGCATTTAATAAATTGATTTAGAACCTAGTTAGAATGGGCGAAAGGTAGCAGACTTAATAAATCTACAACTATCAAAGGCTTTAAGGAACTGATATTGCCAATTGTGAATGGAAAGCTTTGATAAATAACTCTTAATTAAAATAATCCTCATTATCATATAATCTCAGTATTAAGGGGTTTTGGGGTTTTGGGGAGATCGGAAGAGCACA